AATCCATCTCACAGGACAAAAACTGAGAAATGAAAGTTTTTATGCGTCCGCTGTTCCTTTAATTTTGCAAATTTGATAAACAGACGCCTCAAACTGAAACGCTCCAGAACTTGATGGTCGAACTCATCCAGTCCCAACTTGTCCTCATTGAAACGTATTATGTTCTATGAACTCGCTAACAAGAAGTATTGCAAGTTTAGTCTGCAGAATTTCCACATGATACATTTTAAAGCAGAAAGAGTTAAAACTAAGAACTCCTTAAATATTTTCTAAAACGGAAGGTTAGTGTGCGTTTCAAAACTTCTGGCCTCACACTTTAAAAAATGTCTTTTGTACTTTTCAACATAAATTTGTGCAGTGGTACTTTGATTTTCCCTTTAATTCGATTTTAGAATTTACAGATGCACAGGCGCTCCTGTTTTCTTAAAGCGGCGAATTTATTTGATCTTTGTTTGATAAATAATTTCACTACCACTAAAAAAAAAGAATATACAGTAATTGACATACGTTTGGAGATTGTCTGGAAATCAGTTGACATTCAAAGGAATGCGTGGTGATTATACTGAAAACCTATCACGCATGCAATGACAAATGTGCAACTCACGGGAGACTAACGCTGGAGATAACCACCCGAGAGGGAAATGTCTATGAAACGCGTGCGATTTAACGTTTTGAGAATTCCCCGTTACTCAGTTAACTGTAAACATGCTAATTGTTTGCTGTGAAACGTCTATTTTTGCGTGTACTGTAAATAAGGATACATTTTTTTTTAACAAGCACATTTTTTTTAGTATCCAGAAGCTATGAGTTGTTAACCCTTAGGCTCGGTATTATGGATATCGCAACCTTTCGGCCTTGATTCAATTGTAAATACCGTAAATCTGGGAGAAATGTGGCTTTCCTGCCTACCCCCGGGATTGAACCCGGACCACAAGGAGTTCGTCACCTGGTCACCGCGCAATCCGGTTTAGCCAACTAAAGAACTCACTGTCTCGTCTATCATAAAGATGCTCATATAAAGAAGTCTCAGTTATTTTCCTGGGTCTCTCTCTCTCTCTCTCTCTCTCTCTCTCTCTCTCTCTCTCTCTCTCTCTCTCTCTCTCTCTCTCTCACTCTCTCTCGTACTTGCTTCCACTCGTACTCAGATCGTTGTCTAGGGGTCACTAGCGTAGAATAGACAAGGCAGACTACCTTTCATCAACGATCACACTTTTCCAAATGATAGTCGACTTTTCCCAGTTCCTAGTTTATCCATCTCTAGCATAGAACAAGTATCAATTTGACAATCTAACTTAGGCAATGCAGTCAAGGATCATTAGCTCTCACCCATGGGGACACAGACACGCCACATTTGACGCTGATCTACACACAGTCGATACGACCACCCTTACTCGGACACCGCCGTTGTCTTTAGATATGCTTCAATGCAGAACAACCACAGTCACTTCAGTGAGGATTCACTTTCATTCCGAACTCTCTGGGGTCCTGTCGCAGAATTTTCAGTTATTCTTACCCCTGTTACCCCACAGTTGCTCCGCTCCTGTGCCAACGACAAACAAACGCAGCTCACAGTGTCACGCCATGCACTCAACTCAAAAGCTGGGCGACGAAACTACATCCTTCCAGTCTACAAATGGAGCTAACATACAACGGTCACCATCTGGAAAAAAAAATATTTGCCATAGCTAAAAAAATTAAATAAAAAGGTGGCCGTGCCTAGCGTCCATTTTGACCGGAAGCATTATATGAGGGTTAATAAACGGTCACCCCAGCAGTGCCCTCATTATTAGCTGGGGAAGGGACTTAGGACATTACATCCACCAGCAGGCGTCGCCCCTACAACGACCTGCCTGCCATCGTTAACGACTGTTCACCCAACAGCCATGCAGTTCTTTGGCACGAAGGAGACATCTAGAACTTGGGTTTCGGACTGCCGACTCCCTACAAGATGTTATTTTATGTTTTGTTATCACAATTGATGTCAATGTACATTGGGCATACCCATGCGTGCTCAGTTCTAAGAAACAGCAGCAGTCACTCCAAAGTACTTCTACTAATTGTCCAGATAAGAAGCTGGTTATATTGTCTCCTTTCTCGGCCTCGAAGACGGCAAAGACGTGCATCACCCTGCTTAACTCCCATGTCACGCAATCTTGTTAGTTCAACATGATTAGTAACAGCATGCATGCTAAATAGGAACAATCATCACCAAACAATTACGGGTTACTGCTTTTTAAAGTTGGGCAAGACTTCTGAAACTGACTATAGGACAGGGAAGAGTCATACACATTTTAACTTTTAGCTGGGGCTAGAGAGGGTCTGGCACCTAAGTTCTGGCGCCTATGCCTGCATGGCCTGGACAGCGAGACCACTTGAAAAGTTTCAGGTGTTATTAGGTCCCCTCCCCTTCCTCCCTCCCCTTGCTCCCTTCCCTCGTCGGTATACATCAGTGCACAGTGCTAGCACAATTTATTTATTGCACTGTTTCCATTTTAAATTCCATTTTTTAGATACTTATTTCGCTTACCGGTACAATTTATTTCATGCATCATATTTTTCAGTGCTACCTTAACGGACACTTTGTGGCGACTGCCGGCACCGTTTTTTTTTTCTAGACGCTTTATGGTGAGTACTGCCACATTTTTTCCATTCTAAAAAACAGTTGGTTGTGTGTGTGTGTGTGTGTGTGTGTGTCTGTGTGTGTGTGTGTGTGTGTGTGTGTGTGTGTGGGTGTGGGTGTGGGTGTGCGTGTGGGTGTGCGTGTGCGCGTGCGTGTGCGCGTGAGCGTGTGTGTGTGTGTGTGTGTGTGTGTGTAATTGTAGCACTGAAAGCGTGTTTTTGTCAATACCATGTTTGCCGCCCTTAGGGTTCAGATAATTTCAGATTCTGCGTCCGGTTTAATGAACTATGAATGAAAGTGTAGTTCACAGATGAGAGAACTGTATGCACGGCTGACGTGCCTTTCATGCGAATTCTACATAATTTGACTGATACTGCCCGCATTACACTAAAGAGGGTGACTTATAAAAATAGGAATATACTGTAGTCTCATTGATTTGTTTCCTGACCTGAGGTAAGTAACCAACCAAGTGATTAAGGAAATAGGTAAGTATGTTGAGATTTTTTTAAAAGTAAGCTATAGATTTTTCTGTCTAGTATTCATTTCTAATGTTCACACACATGGCAGAGCTTCAGCTGGCCAGACAGACTTGCTGATTTTTTTTTCCGGAGATAATCAGTTAAGTGATTTTGTGTGTTATTGTTCGTGTTTGTAACATTGTCTATTCATTTAATTTGCTGATGAAAGCTTCCTAGTCTGAGAGTTCACTTGTCGACGTTGAATCTACATATGACTTTGTTTCTGTATTTGATTAGCTGTCAGATCCGCCACGGATCAGTTTTCTCTGTTTAATGAGCCGCGTATGTAAATAGTTTGAAAAACACTGTTCTAGACCATGACACAGAAAGTGAGTTCCCTTCTTTATGATTTGCCGCTGTGCACAATTTTGCATTGTGGATATTGTTGAGTTTGCTTGTAAAATAAGAACAAGCAAATCCTAAATGTAACTAGATAATGCAGGATCAGACATGATAACGTCAGGAAACAAGTGGGATGGAACCAGTATCGAACTATATCAAGCGAGAGAAAGAAGAAGAAGAAGAAGAAGAAGAAGAAGAAGAAGAAGAAGAAGAAGAAGAAGAAGAAGAAGGAGGAGAAGAAGAAGAAGAAGAAGAAGAAGAAGAAGAAGAAGAGAAAGAAGAAGAAGTAGAAGAAGAACAATAAGTAGAAGAAGAAGAAGATAAAGAAGAAAAAAGAGGAAAAAAGAAGAAGAAGAAAAAGAAGAAGAAGAAAAAGAAGATAAAGAAGAAGAAAAAGAAGAAGAAGAAGAAGAAGAAGAAGAAGAAGAAGAAGAAGAAGAAGAAGAAGAAGAAGAAGAAGAAGAAGAAGAAGAAGAAGAAGAAGAGGAAGAAGAAGAAGAAGTAGAAGAAGAAGATAAAGAAGAAAAAAGAGGAAAAAAGAAGAAGAAGAAGAAAAAGAAGAAGAAGAAGAAGATAAAGACAAGAAGAAGAAGAAGAAGAGGAAGAAGAAGAAGAAGAAGAAGAAAAAAGTAAAAAGCAGCAGTAGTATCAGCAGAAGAAGAAGAAGAAGAAGAAAAAAAAAAGAAGAAGAAGAAGAAGAAGAAGAAGAAGAAGAAGAAGAAGAAGAAGAAGAAGAAGAAGAAGAAGAAGAAGAAGAAGAAGAAGATGAAAAGTAAAAAGCAGCAGTAGTATCAGCAGCAGTAGCAGCAGCAGAAGAAGAAAAAGTAAAAAGCAGCAGTACTATCAGCAGCAGTAGCAGCAGAAGAAAAAGAAAAAGAAGAAGAAGAAGAGGATGGAATCGCAGCCGACAATAAGTGGTGCACATTTTTTCGTCCATAGTACACTTATGTTAGCCACTAGTGCACTGATGCCAGTAAAAATGCACCGATGCCAGTAACTAGTACACTTATATCAGTAACTAGTGCACTTATGTTAGCCAATAATGCACTGATGCCAGTAATTAGTGCTCCGAATCCAGTAACTAGTGTACTAATGCCAGTAATTATTGCACTTATGCTAGTAACTGTTGCACTTATAGAAGCCACTGGTGCAATTATGCCATTAACTAGTGCCTTCATGAAAGCCACTAGTGCACTTATCTCAATCATTAGTGTACTATATCAGCCACAAGTGCACTTATGCCAGTAAATGTTACACTTAAGTCAGCCACTAGTGCATTTGTTCCAGTAACTAGTGCATTTGTGTTATCCACTAGTGCACTTATGCCAGCAACATACAGTATTACTCCATTATTAACTTATATTCCAATCTGTCTCCATAGCCTACAACATTACACTACCAACGTATATTCTAGGAAGCGACATGACATACAACATTACTAAAATATATTGCAATATATATAGCATACAAAATAACTCTACTGTTGTAAACCCAGGTGAACCAACAACCCTCTACCAGTCATGTTTTTGACCAACTTACTCCTCCTGTTACTAGTCCGGCCAAAGTGCAACAACATCAAGGAGCTTTTAGACAAAGTCTATAATTCGATGGACGTAGACAAAGATGGACAACTTTACCGCGAGCAAGCTTTTGATTATATCAAAGTAATTTGTGCATTCACCTAGACGTTTAATACACAGCTCTCTGTGCTCATCTACGCCCTACACACTCAATACACAGCTCTCCATGCGTCACTCACAATTTCACGATTTCCTTGTCTGGCACACATCAGCCTAACTGCACGTTTATCTCGAATTAGTTTCACTCACTTAATCCACGCGATAATTTATGTTAAGTGGTTGTTGCTATCATTGTCAAAGAATGGAAAAATGAATCATAACACGAGAGAGGGAGAAGGACAATGAAGAATGGGTAGAATACTAAGAAGTAGAAGAAGAGAAGACGGGAAGTGAGGAAAAAAAAGGGGGGGGGGCGGCGGCAGGAAAAGAATCAGAAGATGATGAATATTTAAAAAAGATATAGATTCTACAACATCGTTTTTTTAAGACGACTTCTTGTTTTAGCACATACAGTATAGGAAATGATATGTTCTAGCACAAACAGTATAGGAAATTATATGTTCTAGCACATACAGTATAGGAAATGATTATTTTCTCAAAGTGAACATGTCATAGACAGCACCACTGATATTCCAATCTTGCACTACTTTCTTTTGATCAGAAATACGACTCTGATGCAGACAACGAGGTTACTCGCTCTGAGTTCAAGGACGGGATTAAAGACCTTCACCTGCAAGGTGCAGTTCAGTAATTATTTAACTTGTTTTACGTGTGCAGACTGTGATACATTGAACATTTAAGAAAACTTAAACCAGCCGAAGACATATCCAGAAGACAGACAATCAGAAACATTACAGTAATGAGGTGTATAGGTAACGACCGATTTTATTGTAAAAACAAAAACAAAACTTTATGAGTTAATTGGTTAGTCTTTCCTTTCGAATATAGGAAGCAGCATAAGATAGAGGTCATAGCTGGCGGTTCGTGGCCGCCTGATATAGGTCTTGGATGTTCACTGGGTTTATGGTCGACACTTCTCTGATGATGGTTCTAGTAGTTCATCATTACCATCCCAAAAAGGGGAAATCACAACAATGTCAAAATTATAGGACTATTATGTCTCATCAGTCAGCCCATTAAAGTCATGCTCAAGATACTCCTGAACAGATTAAAGCCACACGCAGAAAAGATCATAGCAGAGGAACAGGCGGGTTTCCGTGCTGGAAGAAGCACTGTTGAACGGATATGTAATCCCCGAATATTATCAGAGCAATACCATCAGCACCAAAAACACCTGTACCATGTGTTCATTGATTTCAAAAATGCCTTAAATAGAGTATGGCATGCAGCACTCTGAAACACTATGAAAAAGTACAACATGGGTAAAACCCTTATACGTAGTATATAACAGCTTTAGGCCAAGGCCAGTAGTGATGTCACGCTGAACGGACAAATAGGGAGCTAGTTGCGAACAACAACAAGAGCCCGTCAGGGCTGCCTCCTCTCACCAACACTGTTTAATAGCTTCTTAGAAAGAGTTATGACTAACGCCCTAGAAGAACATCATGGAACTGTTAGTATAGGAGGTCGATCTATAACAAACTTGAGGTTTGCAGATGACATTGATGGTTTGGCCATGGAAAAACAAGAGCTAGTCGAAATTGTAAAGCAGCTCGATGAAACATCCACCAAGTATGGCATGGAAATAAACGCAGAAAAAAAAGTAATGACTAATAATCCAGCTGACATAACTTCACCAATGTACGTTCTTCTTTTTAAAGTCTATGCCCTGTGGCGTTGGTAGTCATGTATCCACATCCTTCTGTCACGTGTACTTTCAGGCCCACATGATGCCATGATGCCAAACCGTCCAGCATCTGTTTTCTCTGTCTCCCTCTGCCTTTCATTCCCTTCAACTTTCTTACAGTTACGATGCACTCCAGTTTTCTCCTTCTGATCATATGTTTAAAGAATGTAGATTGTCTCTTTCTGATGAGGGCAATTAGTTCTCTCTGTACGTTAAAGGTCACAGATTAGAACAAGTGACTCATTTCAAATATTTAGGATTCATTTTATGTGACTCGGGGTCAAGACCATAAATTATGTCTAGGATTGCCCAGACATCATCAGTCCTTGCCCAGCAGCAAACATTATGGAGATCCAAAAACATTTTAAGCAAAATTAGGATTCTATTGATCAGAGCATTAACTATTAGTACATTTAGCTGTGAAACGTGGACTTTAACAGCTGAACTCGAAAGGAAGATACAATTATTGGAAATGCGATGTTTCAGAAACAAATTCTTGGCATGTCATACAGAGACCACACTACAAACGAAGAAGTTCGCTCTATAATTATACAGCATATTGGCAACTATGAACCTCTTTTAACTACAGTAAAAAGCCGAAAAATGCAATGGTTAGATCTAACGGTTTCTCAAAAACAGTACAGCAGGGCTCAGTAGAGGGAAAGAGGAGAAGAGGCAGACCACAAAAAACACCTAGACACAGAACCTGACTGACTGGACATGCAACCATGAAGTCCATCGCAACTGACCTCCAGAGGTGGACAGAGCTGACCAGACAGTCAACAGAAACTAGTGACCCAGTGACGCACAGTGCTACTGGATGAACATAATGATTTTATGTATATTCAAGGAAACATGTATCGATGAAAATGTATCCATCATTTTGAATAACCATGTTCAGTAAAATGTACAAGGATTAATTAAAAAAAAAAAAAAAATGACGGAAAAAAGACTGGTTATATTGAATGTTATCAATAACATCCAGTGAAAATAGAGGGTGCTGCAGTTCTGCAGTGCCTATGCAAAAGCCAGTACCGGCACCCTCACATCATCTCGGCACCACACGACACAGGAGCATGGAAACGACACCAGATTATACAAGGGCCGTGTTTGAACATGTGCAGCATGTGCAGCTGCACGGCGAGGCGACACTGGGGAATGGGGCATAATTCACGATGCCGAAAAATTATGAGGGTGACAACATTAACAGGGCGCAAAAGTTATGACGGTGTTAAACACTTCAGCACAGCAAAGTAAATTGTATAGTGAAAATGTTGATTCTGTTTTTGCTTTTATTATTATGAAACTGGTGTTAGATTAATATACTGTCGTTACCAAATATGATACCTTTACCACCGTATAGTTTAAAACTGAAGCAGCTAATTCCGTAACATAACTTTGGTAGTCTGTAAATGAATGCGTCCCATTATAAATTACAGTAAATGACTCTTTCGACACATTCAGTCGTTTTGGGCATAAATGGCTGGACCTATTTTGTTTAGACTGATCTGCACTTGGTGGCTCATAAGGTCAATCTCACGCCGGTCGCCTTTATCTTCTCAGGACTTTACCTGGTACCCACTCAAGGCTGGGTCGACTTGGGGGCCAAAGTCAGTTTTGAAAAAAAAAGTACGGCTCTGTCAGGACTCGAACCCAGGACCTTCCGATCCTGAGGCGAGCGTCTAAACGGTACATATTGGCGCCCCTACTCTATCACATCTAACCGCGTTGTACAACAAGCTGCCTTCGATTATCCCAGTGAAGAAAAGCAGTCATCACTTTTTTTTAGTACGAAAGTAATATAATCTATGACTGTCTTGTTATAATATACAAATTTTTGGTACTGTCATAACATAATTAAGTACTTTCTTATTACAAGTATAATTTATTCCACACATTTTTATTCACAAACATATAACAGTCATGTACTTTTCTTAATTATGTAAGTATAGTATAATCCACTGCTTGTTGCAAGTGAAACTAATCTGTTTCTTTTTTGCTACACGCATAATATAATCTATTCATTTCTTGTTAAAAACATAATATAATCTATTACTTCCTTGGTACAAGCATAATATAATCTATTCATTTCTGGTTAAAAGCATAATATAATCTATTTCTTCCTAGGCATAGGCATAATATAATCAATTAACTTCTTGTTGCATGTTTAATTTTATCTATAAATTTCTTGTTGCAAGCATAGAATATTCCGTTATTTTCCATTACAGGCATAATAAAATTTATTAATTACTCGTTACAAGCAAAATATAATCGATTTATTTTAATTTAGTAATCGATTCATTTCAAGTTAAGAGCATAATACAATGAAGTCCTTTTTGTGTGTGCTTTTAAAACGAGTAGTATTTGAGGATGCGCTGTTTTTCTTCTTCGACGTTGATAAAAATGGGAAAGTCACCGATTGGGACTTCAAAATATTGTATGTGCTGGCCGACAGGGACGGAGACGGAGCTGTTTCTGTACCTGAGAAAGACAGGTAAGCCAATCTGTGATGTCTACCTGTGTCGTAATGTGATGTTTACATTTGTCACATGGTGATGTCTGGCTATGTCACATTGTGATATCTACCTGTGTCACATGATGTCTATCCACAACATCAGCGATATATATCTGTCTGGGTGACAAAATCCAAAAGGTGTCGGAGTTTTTCCTATAAATGACCTTGGCTCCCAAATCGACCTAGCCTTAAGTGGGCACTGGGTAAAGTCCTAGGAAGTAAAGGCGGCTGGTGTGGGAATGTTGACCGCATCACTGACCGAGTTATATCTAGGCCTAGCACTTTATGCTCAATATGAAGGCTGGGAAAGGACCCTTTCAATATTCCACAGCCAGTATTCTCTTCCATGAAAATATTAAAAAAATTTTGTATGGAACTGTACGTTTCACAGTTTCATCTTGGTAATGTTTGGCTGTTGTGGGCACATGACCTAGTTAAGAAACTTGGATCAACTCACGAAGTCGGGCCCAAAAAAAGAGTGACTTCCCTTGCCATTCATCCCTGCTCTTGCCCTAGGGCCTGTTCTAATTTGCAGTTGGTGTTACGCTTAGTAAGCGTCAGGCAACATAACACATTTTACGTGTTGTTGTTATGGCCTGCATGCAGTCTTGGGATGTAGGCTGCACTATCTCGTGGGACGTAGGCTGAGGCTGCTGGGTTTGGGTTACGGCCAGTTCTACTTGTTTTGGGACCCTTAAAAGCAGTCACATTGTGGAATATAGAACATACGATATCTCTGGCCGGTGACAACAACGCTTAAAATTCGTTGTGTTGCTGGACGCTCACTAAGCGTGACACCCCCTCAAGATAGGACAGCCCTATGACACAACCAGGGATGAATGCCAAGGTAAGTTGTGGGCCTGAATTCGTTAGTTGTACAAGAAACTGCATAAAAAGTAAGAGGCATTGCCACAAATGCAGTTCCGATCCGGTTTGATTAATACTTGTTTGCAAAGTAAAAAAAAACAGAAGGGATTTCCTTGTTAAATGAGCGAATAAAGCTTGAACTGTAACAGTTTAGACTATTAGTAATTAAAAATAGTTTTTGTTCGTTTAAAATTGTATACATGCCCGATGCGCCAAAAGGCGTGAAAAGGGATCTTTACTTTACTTTACTTACAGCATGCTGATCCGTTTCAAAACAAATACAGTACAAAGTAAAAGTTTTTTGATGAAAAGTGCAGACCCACACAAATAGACTAAGTTTCCTTTTTTTTGTTTTTTGTTTGTTTACAGGTTTCTGAACAAGTTTTGCTGAACTACATAGCCAGAAAACAGATCACCTTTTTGTTAAATCACTCAGCCTGGGTTAATGAACAAGACAAGAGGACAGGCAGAAGAGTATACAGCTGAGAAAAATTGGGCAGAAACAGTAAACACAGAGCATGATTTATTGATTGGTTGAGTTTGTCGTTACTCGTCAGACACATTGACCCCAGAACATAAGAGGTATTCAGTCAGACATATATCAGGAACGTCTACCTATGTCAAGGGATGTCTACCTATGTCAGTGATGTTTACCTAGGTCAGTGATGTCAATCTATGTCAGTGATGTCAATCTATGTCAGTGATGTCTACCTATGTAAGTGATGTTTACCTATGTCAGGGATGTCTATCTATGTCAGTGATGTTTACCTATGTCAGTGATGTTTACCTATGTCAAGGATGTCTATCTATGTCAGTGATGTTTACCTATGTCAGTGATGTTTACCTATGTCTAGGATGTCTATCTATGTCAGTGATGTTTACCTATGTCAGGGATGTCTATCTATGTCAGTGATGTTTACCTATGTCAGGGATGTCTACCTATGTCAGTGATGTTTACCTATGTCAGGGATGTCTATCTATGTCAGTGATGTTTACCTATGTCAGGGATGTCTTTCTAGGTCAGTGATAGCTACCTATGTCAGTGATGGCTACCTATGTCAGTGATGTCTATCTATGTCAGGAATGTTTATATATATCAGGGATGTTTACCTGTGTAAGGGATGTTTATGTCATTGATGTCAATCTATGTCAGGGATGTCTACCTATGTCATAGATGTTTACCTATGTCAGGGATGTATACCTAGGTCAGTGATGTTTACCTATGTCAGGAATGTTTACCTATATCAGGGATGTCTATCTATGTCAGTGATATATATTTATGTTAGGGATGTCTAATTATGTCAGGGATGTTTATCAATGTCAGGAATGTTTATCTATGTCAGTGATATATATTTATGTTAGGGATGTCTATCTATGTCAGTGATGTCTAATTATGTCAGGGATGTTTATCAATGTCAGGGATGTCTATCTATGTCAGTGATGTCTATCTATGTCAGGGATGTCTATCTATGTCAGGGATGTCTATCTATGTCATGGATGTCTATCTATGTCAGTAATGTCTATCTATGACAGTAATGTCTATCTATGTCAGTAATGTCTATCTATGTCAGGGATGTCTATCTATGTCAGTGATATTTATCTATGTCTGCGATGTCTGTCTATGTCAGAGATGTCTATCTATGTCACTGATGTACACCTATGACAGGGATGTTTGTCTACGTCAGTTTGTGATGTCTGCCTATATGTAAAGATACACGCAACTCGAGGATATCATAGCTGCCTAAATTTCAGGCAGAGGATTGGAATTCTTACCGAACTGAAATGACAAGCAGTCATCTTTTAAGTCTATGACCGGCACGATACAAGTTTTATTTTCATTCTAGGAAACAAAAGAGGGACTATTCTCCATATAGTGAAGAAAAACAAAGGTACCGTATTCACTAATATGTTTACGCAAGGCAGCTGAATGGACGACCACGAGGCAGACCATGAAGAATATCGAGAGATAATGTCTAGACAGATCTAAAAACACTTGGAGGCACTAACTGGAAAGTCAAGGTCAGTCACACAGATGAATGAAGACGGTTGATATCTGCTGCAACGAACCTCAAGGATTTGGAATCTCGAAGAAGAACAATAAGAAGAAAATGTATTTGCCAGAAATTGCAATTAGAAGTAACAAAAACAATGCATAAACATTTGGGGGAAAAGGGCTGAATGGCCTGCAGCGGAATCGCAAGTCGAATGCAAACAAATAAGACATTTTAAACCTGTGACGAATGGTCAAAAGCAACATTGAAAAGTGAAAACTTTAAATAATGACTAGGCTTTCAAACCAATTTACTTGTCTGCATTTTTGTGTCTAGGTTTTCTGCAAGAAAGGTTAGTTAGTTGCGTGTCCTTTACAGGATGTTGTAGAACCCCTTCAGGCATTTTTTTTACGGTTGTAGTTTTTTAAGGCAAATTTTGCTTTCAATAGTTTGCCATTGTTTCCTGAACGGTCAGCTCTCGGTACCACTGTCAAAACCAATGCAAGACAAATCGTCCCCAGATGTGATCGAACCCGGCACCTCGGCATTACGAAGTGCTTTCGCAGAGCCTAAGCCACAGACGCCGACGCAAGAAAAATAGAAAACTGAAAAACTAAAAAAAAAAAAAAAAAATTAAAAAAATTCAGTTATTTCAAGCTGTATTCGTTTCAAACAAAGAAAACAGGCAAAGAAGCCGATCAGCACAGTTTAATGTTTGAGGAACCTTGCTTATCTCGTGAAGCTTATAAATGCGAGAACTGAAAAAAAAAGACAATTAAAAATCACTCAAACCATCTCAGAACAAAAAAAAAAAAAAAAAAAGGATTTCAGAGCCCCAACAATTTTATACTGGGGTCATGCGATCTATGTAACGAACGAACGAACGAACGACTGACTGACTGACTGACTGACTGACTGACTGACTGACTGACTGACTGACTGACTGACTGACTGACTGACTGACTGAATTTACATCACTGCACTCAGGACATTTCCACACGAACTTCATCTCCTTTCTCAGTAGCCAACGAGTCGATATGCATTAGCACCTCTATATCATTTTTTTAAATGAAAAATATCTAATGCAATAAATAGCTCTCATTTAATGTCAGAACTAGGGTGCTAAAAAAATAACCTGTTCTGCTGTATGGCAGCGAATCTTAGAATGCCACTGAATAAATTAAGAAGAATTTGGAAGCAACAGAGATGTGGTTTCTGAGACGAATGTTACGAATACCTGGGACGGCCAGAGTAACTAACAACGATTGCTTGAAAGAGGCTTATGAAAATAGATCTCTATATACAACTGTTCTTTGGCCACATAATGAGAAGAGAGACATTGGAGAACATTGTGACAACTGGGAAGATCAGGAGAAAAAAAGGGGTAGAGGCAGACAAAGAGAGATGATGCTGGATAGGCTAAAACTATTGCATAAAGGGATATCATCAAGAGAGCTATTCCAGTCAACCAGGGATCGTGATCTGTGAAGAGGAATGAAAGCCTAAGCCAGTTGGCAGGGCACTAAATGATGATGATATTAGTTTTCCCTGCAGTGTTAAATATCTCTCTGTGTCTATCGTGTCTCAGTGACAGAGCTCTCTGTGCCCATCGTTTCTCAGTGACAGAGCTCTCTGTGTCCATCGTGTCTCAGTGACAGAGCTCTCTGTGTCCATCGTGTCTCAGTGACAGAGCTCTCTGAGCCCATCGTGTCTCAGTAACAGAGCTCTCTGTGTTTATCATGTCTCAGCGACAGAGATCTCTGTGTCCATCGTGTCTCAGTGACAGAGCTCTCTGTGTCCATCGTTTCTCAGTGACAGAGCTCTCTGTGTCCATCGTGTCTCAGTGACAGAGCTCTCTGAGCCCATCGTGTCTCAGTGACAGAGCTCTCTGTGTCCATCATGTCTCAGCGACAGAGCTCTCTGTGTCCATCGTGTCTCAGTGACAGAGCCCTCTGTCTCCATCGTGTCTCAGTAACGGAGCTCTCTGTGTCCATCGGATCTCAGTGACAGAGCTCCTTGTGTCTATCGGGTCTCAGTAACGGAGCTCTCTTTAGTGCACTAACTGGTGACAGTCTTGGCACATTTGCATACTATATGATCTGTTGTCTCTTGACTTCTTTTCCTATTATTTCTTCGCGCAAGATAATACATTTAGAAAACATTTACTTGCCAATCCGCAATCTATATTTATAGACGAATATAAATAATGCAGAAAGTATACATTCAAGCGGGTCGTTATATTATTTCCGGTAACATTCTTGACAAAAACAAGCACTGATGCGCATTTGAACCCCAGACCCTGTGCTATAAGCCCAGTGTCTAGCTACTATGCATTAGTGCTTTTCAAAAAGTCGTGCCCTCAAACAAATATCTCGAAAACTTTGGTACGGATCAACACGAATTCTTGTAAGTGATGTTTCCCGTCCTTGTGATTTCATAATTTACAATTGCACAGAAGCTGCAATTATACTGAAGCGGCGAATTTCTTTATCTTTGTCGAACTAGTAATTTGTGTGTCACTAAAAAAATAAACAATAAATATACAGTAACTGACATAAATTCACTTCATTATTCAAGATAAGGTCTCGTTGGATTTTAGCACCGAGTAGCACCTAAAAGGTCGTGTAATTTGATGTTTTGCAAAGTTCGCGTCACTTGATTGACTGTAAACATGATAACTGTAAGCTTTAAATTTGTGTCTTCTGTTTTCACGTGCCAAAAAAAAAAAAAAAAAAAAGATGTTTGTTTACATTATGTCTAATCCCCCTACAAGGACATGGTCATTTTCAGGTTGTATGCCAAATTTCAACAATTTACAAGTATCTTACCGAGTACATGTTTTTAAAGTTGGGCATACCTTTTAGAAGCCAGTATAATATCATGTCTCTGTTATTCAATTCTTTTCTTTCTTTGCGTTCACCAGCTGAAAACTCTGGTGGAAAGTTTTGGTTGTTCGTCCATTTCTGGACTGCAGTCCTGTTCCAGAAACTGAGTTTTGTGTGTGCATCTGTTTAACAGATCTGACACATTTGTGTGCAGACTGTTGAATTCTTGCCACTCAGGCAGATGCACTCTGACTTCGAAGTAAGCTCCCAATTAGTCGACTCTTAAGACATGATTTTGGGTAGGCAGTGGGTCTATTCTTGTTTTCCCTATAATAGGGCCCCTGAACCCACACGGGATTTATTCACATTGTTCTCTGCCCTCTTTCTTCCACCCAGAGGTGCCCTAAACACCTGCCACTTACATATTTCGTGTCCATATGCATCTGCATATTATGGACAGTAGGGCTATTTGAGCTCTGGTAAATATTGTGAACTGAATGTACTTTTAGCCTTTTTTTGTGTGTGTGTGCAAATAACTAAAACCACACCGCTCTTCTTCACGCCCCAGAAAACTT